CTGATTGCATTTTGCTGGTGCTGGCGTTGGTTTTTTTGAGACACGAGGCAGTTTTGCAGAGGGGGGTGCTGAGACAGATGTAGGGCGTCCTGCTTGTTCCCTGCTCTCACCCCCAGCCTTTGCATCACAGCCCCTTTAACCTGATGGCCTGTTAAAGGTTTCAGATCGAAAGCAAAGTCTCCCATGCCATGTGGAGGGTTTGTAGGAGAGCTGCTCGGACATGGAGATTTTTGAGCCGTGGGGAAATGGGGTGCTTGGGCTCGTTTTCATTCTGAACTCAAGCGGAAATATGAAATTAGTGCTAGGAGTTTCTCACAACCCTAGATGTTTAAAAAAAAATTAAAAAATTAGGGGTATGGGCAACCCTGAAAGGTGCATGATCATCATAACAAGGATGCCGAAATGATCTTTACATTTTTTTCCAGCACATTTTTTTGAGAGTCATTCGAATTTCAGTAAAACTGCCTTTTGCAAAGGCACTCCATTTCTTTTCTTCAGCCGGGCCGAGTTTGGAGACTCCAGCTACTGTAACCAGACTCCTTTTGGAGACGGGTTGCAGCGTTCGTGGGGCTCTTGCATTTCTCCCTGGGAGAGGTTGCTGCCTTCAGCAGTTCCTCACCTGCACTCTGCGTGCAGCGCTGTGCTTTGACGGGCAAACCCAGCGTTGCTCATTTTGGGTGGTCGGGAGCTGAAACTCTTGGCTTTTCCCTCTCAATGGGCCTGGATTCCTCCCGTGATGGAGCATGGCAGGAGACCTTGGAGTGGTCCCTGTGCTCCGTTTTCCAATTACAGCACGGGGAGAAAAGGCATCAGCTCTTTGCTATGTGCCTGTGAAAGGCAAAGCCCTTTAAAAACAGATGGCAGAGCATCAGGGCAGCGCTGGGGTTTTGTGGAGGTCCTCCCCTCTTTGTGGTGCCTTGCATAGTCTGCACAACTTTTTTGCTGTGTTTCCGCTTTGCTTGTGCTCCTGATGCCAGGGCAGCCTCTTGCCCATGAGCCTTCTCATCCTGCTCCAAAAATATCACGGTTTACAAGCCCGCTGGAGCATGGCAGTGGGCTCCATGTCTGGCAGCCCCACGTCTGATGCCAGAGAGAGGCAGACATCCGTTATAACGTGGTGACAGGACAGGGCTGGGACAAACACCGCCTGGCCTTTGAAATATAGGAAGAAATTGTACGTCTCCAGGTTGAGACACTGCTTTGGATGCTTCCTGACACATCCTGCCGGCCAAGCCACCAGTGGTTGCCAAATTGGTTTGTGAAAATGTCTCCGTGCTAATGGTGCCTTCGTTGGGTCGGGCCAGCAGCTCTGGCCGGCGCGGGCTGGATGAGACACAGGTGTCTGATCCCAAAGCGTAAGTTTTCCTCCTGGAGGGGAGGAAGGAAAACTCCGTTTCCCTCTTTGCCGTGCTGCCGGGTGGGAGCAGGGCAGACCATGGTCAGCAAAAGGCAGGGGCTGAAGCTTGTGCTTGGCATGGGGAGGCTTGGCCAGAACCAAGGTGGGGTAACACAATGAAAAGCATCATCTCTGCTAATTCCTTTCCACTCCAGCCACCAAACGAAGCCTTTGCTACGCATGAAAACGCTGTGGGTTGAAGTTCAGGGCTCTTCGCTTGAACGTCCTCTCCTCTTTGGTGTGGTTTAAGGATGGGGCTGGGGTATTATCCATCTGGGACCGGGGGCAGTTCACTGTCACACGGAGCTAGACCTCTCCAGGAGATCCTGGAGCCGAGACACTGGGAAGGAATTTTCTGCCCTAGGAAAACCATAAATCTTTAAATATCCTGTTTCCACTACGAGGCGGATTGGAAGTTTCCAGCCAGGCTCGCTGGGTGGTGGTGTCTCCCTCGGCGTGAGGTGAGTGTGTGTGTGTGTGTAAATGAATGCCCCCAGACAGAGCAAATCCCAAGACTTGGTTCTTTTGGGAACATATCAAAATGTGAAAAAAAATGGGGGCTCTTGCCAGCATCTCTGAAAAGTCCTGGCCACTGCCCCGGCACTGCCGCCGAGGCCACCCAGCCGGACCCCCACCATGGCTGGGCTATTACATCTTGCTGTTAGCAAAGCTGAACATCACCTTAGAGCTGCTTTTGCCTCTTGGCAGCTCTGGAGCAGCTGTTTTTGCACGGATGCTCCTTGGCTTTGCCTGGTCTTGCTCCGGTGAGCGGCCGAGACGTTCGGCTCAGCTTCACTAGAGGGCGCAGGAATTTTAGGCTAGAAACGCACGGAGGTTTGTCGGGGAAAGTTGGCTGCCTTTTTCTCCTTTTTAATCAACTGGAAAGATGCAGGGTTGAACTGGAGGTGACTGGAAGGGGATCCAGACTTGTGTCTGGCTGGGGAAGGATCCGCTGACATCTGGGATTAGGCGGCGTGGAGTGCAGCGGCGGCGAGCGGACGGGACGTTGCAGCGAGCTGGCAGCGTGGCCGGGGCTCGCGATGTTGGGGTGCAGCTGGCTGGGGCTGGAGGAGCCTGATAGCAAAAGGACAGCTCAAAAAAGAGCAAAAAAAAGAAAAAATTCCCCCCCAACCCCCTAGTGCTAAATGCTCGCCCTTTTTCAGGCTGGGCAGGTGCTGCGTTGACCTCCATAGGGGCTCAGTCTTCTCTTCCTGAGGGTCCCCTCCTCTGTGCCTTTGCTGCACATCGCTCCTTGGGACAGGCACTCTCCTCTTCAGGGTCTGGCTTGGTCCGCGGGGTGTGGATCTGGCCCTGGGCTGGTTCTCTGCACCACCGCAGCAGTTTTGCACAGTGGGACCAGAGGCATTTCTTAGGCTGCTGTACTTTTTGCAGGGTGCAGGAGGTCCTCGAGCACTTTGCCTGTGGGTGGTGCTGGGCAGAGCTGGGGGGGGACGGGGTTTGCCCCAGGTCAGGAGCCCCAGGGGCCACCTCCATCGTGATGGTGGCTCTAAGCAAGGCTGCAGCCTCGGCTCTCCTTAAGCAGAGGCTGTCCCCTCATCGGCTCTGCTTTCAGCTGGGGAAACTGAGTCATGGGAAGCCTTTGGGGAGAGCAGCGTGATTCACTGGGGGCCTCTGTCCTTATCCCAAACCCCGCAGTACGGATGAAGGGCAGACGCCAGTCGGATGGTGAGACATTGGTGTCCCTTTGCCGGCCCCACGCTGGAGGTCCTGTCCCATCCCTGTCGAGCAGCTCGGGGCTGCCAGCTCTCCTCCAGCCGGCACTGCCTCAAAGCCTGGTGTCCTGCTCATGGCCACCAGGAACCGGCCCTTTCCCAGATCCCTTCGTACCTTCCCCAGGCAGCCGGGGGGCTCAGCTTTAGCACCTCCAGCTTTTCTTTTCTGTGTGGCTGCTTTTTCACCCCCTCACACAGGCAGGTCTGCCTGAGCATCACTGCCCTTTCCAGGCTTAAAAATAGCTTGTGAAGCATGGAAAGGCAGCAGAAAGCAGCAGCCGCAGCATCTCATGCGCTCGCTGTGATCTCACCGTGGCCCCGCTGTTCGTTCATTCATTGCTCCGCTCCGTTCATTCATGCCTCTGCTCTGCGTAGCCATCCGGGGACGGCTGTCTGTCTGCAGGCAGATCTGTCTGTTGGTCTGCTTGCATTTTCTCTCCCATCGCTCCTACCGTTCCGTTTGCAAGCTGATATTTCCACGGGGAGCCTCCGAGCTCTGCCCCACTGTGTATTGTGTGATGAGTTTTACTTGGGGCTCAGCCCGAGTGCAGCTCGTTATGAAGCGGCTCTTGTCGAGCCTCCTGCCCGGGCTGCGAGGGGACAGAGGTGTTATTTCACCAAACAAACTCCCAGCGAACGATGTGCATTAGCAATGAGGGGTCGCAGCCAGGAAAATGTTACCTTTCCCTTTGAGTGCTGACTGCGGAGGAAATTCTCACATTTACAGCTCCAGCGAGTCCGGCGCTCATGGAAAGAGGGGGCGGCTTTGATTTCTCTCCTCTTGTTGGTTTGATAACTTTGCAGCTCCCCCACCGTGCATTGAGCCCCCCCGGGAACTGGCCACCGGTGGAGGCTATGCAGGCTTGCAGCTCCCTCCTTGGGAGCCTGTTCTAATTTGATTTTCCCGGAGGCCTGGCATGTGGCGGCGCGTGTGTGCGTGCTGCCCTGTGTGTGTGTGTAGGTTAATAAAAAATAAACAAACAGCACTTTTTCCTCCGGTGCACTCTGGGAGGGATGCGGCGGGGATGCCGAATGAAAGCGTGTGCTGTGGGCTGCGCCGGGGAGGGCTGAAGGGACATTCCTGGCATTGCTGAGCTCCTCGGGCAACGCGCGGGCCCTGGCCCAAATTGGAGTAAGGAGCCGTTAGCATCGGAGACCTGGGGAGGCCCACTCCCGCGCAGTGTTTACTCGCAGAGCTTAAATTAATACTGTCTACTGACATCAGTTCTTTTGCCCGGTTTCCCAAGGAAATGAGCCGTGTGCGATCGCAGCCTCTGTGTGTGCCTCTCTTCCCCACTTGAACCCCTGTCTAAGTTCAGCCAGATTTCACAGAGATCGTAAATGCCTCAAAATAATTATTTTACTTCATTTTTTACATATATTAAAAAAGGGTGGTTGATAGGTGCAAGAAACTGCCGGTGCTTCCCACTGAGAGAAAAGTTTGCATGTGTCTGCGTGTGTGCACAACCATAATGTTAGACACTAGAGAATCCCTGTAGAAGAGATGTATCAGCAGCATCCAAATCATGGGATGAATGTAACTGGCAGCCATGAGACACGGAGCTGCGGGAAAGCCGGCTCCATCCATCCTGCCGTGCGCAGGGTGAAGCGTTTCCTCCCGTCTCTGGTTTGCACCATGTTATTGCCTGTCATTTGTGACGGTTGTGGGGATCAGCCTGCGGAGGATCTGTCAGCTAATATTTCTCCATCGGCCCTTTTTGGCAGCTATTTTAGGAATCGATGGTTCTGGATGATGAATTCTGGATGATGACGAGTCTTCGGCTCAGCGCAGGAGACCTGTGATGTCCATTTTTGTGGGCAGAAGCTGGTTACTAGAGAAAGGCAAAGATGAGCGTGTTGGGGCTGTGTAGAGATCTCTGCTTACTCTCTTTTGTAGGTTTTCTCCAAAATCTTCAGCCATGAGGCACTGGAGAGCTATCTCCCCAAGATCCAGCTGGTGATCAAAGACACCCTTCGGGCCTGGAGCAGCAACCCCGAGTCCATCAATGTCTACCACGAGACCCAGAAGCTCACATTCCGTATGGCCATCCGTGTCCTGCTGGGCTTCCGCATCCCCGATGAGGAGCTCAACCGCCTCTTTGAGGTCTACCAGCAGTTTGTGGAGAATGTCTTCTCCTTGCCTGTGGATCTTCCCTTCAGCGGCTACAGGAGGGTAAGAGATTTGGGTTAAGTCCTCCACCAGCCGATAACACCAAGTTATTGTGGTTAATGGGGCGGTGGCTAAGCCCCACCTCTACAGGTTCTTGGTGGGATGTCTTCTCACCCTCTGACCTCTAGCAGCGAGTCCATTTTGGGCTACAAAGTCCTGTTTCGGTAGAGTGGAGAGGGACATCCATTCATAGGTTTTTAGAGTGCTAGGGACTGAGCGGGTCGGTGCAAGGGAGAATACAGTCAGGACTTGCCCAGATCTAATGCGTAATTTTTCCTCACTTATAACTGGCTATTTGGCTGTATTTCTTTGTCCCTTCTCCTGTTACTTCCCTCCTGTCCCCAGGCCAAATCAGGTCAGCGGACCTTCTAATTCCAAGAACTATTCTATTTTTTTGATGAATGATGCAAAATGAAAATGTAACAAAAAACATAGAGAAAAAATTGTATTTTTTTCATGGGGAATTTTGGTAACGGAAATACGGGGTTTTAAAATTTATTTCTGTGGTTATCACTGCAAATTTTGTTATTGTTATTGACCACACGAATGAGCCCAACCATTTGCAGCCCCGAAGCATTTGCAGCAGCTGGCTGGCCAGGTGCAGCTGCACTCAGATAGGAATTGCTTTACTGAGACCAGGTGATAAAATTGCTCGGGAAGCCTGTTACGCTCCCGGGAAGAGGATCCTTTCGGATGAATTGACTTTCCTTTGTGAGACAACTTTCCCAGGGACTGCCATACATCCCAGGGTGAGCCGGAGGCCTGTGAACTGGTGCAGTGCTGGGACTCCCACATCAGACCTATCATTTGCACATAGGTGCTGATTACTCTTGCCTGTAATCTCGCCCACTCGGGGCTTGCTCCTCCTGCCCTGGGAACAACTTCAGCATCTTTATTCTTCTCTTTGACCATCTGCAATTTCAGTTGTATTACTTGAACGTGTTGTCCTGAGCACGTCTCCAGCTCCTGGGGACGCTGGGCTCGGGATGGTGGTGCTAACGTTGTGTCCTGCGTGGTCTGATGGCTTCCCACTCCACAGGGCATCCGGGCACGCGAGACGCTGCAGAAGGGGCTGGAGAAAGCCATTCAGGAGAAACTGCAGAACACACAGGGCAAGGACTACGCCGACGCGCTGGACATCCTGATAGAGAGCGGCAAAGAGCATGGCAAGGAGCTCACCATGCAGGAGCTGAAGGTAAAGATCTTCCCCATGGCCACCTTGTCCTTGCTGTGCTCAGGGCAGGGGCTCCCCGAAGAGCAAAGCGTGAGCTGGTGTAAGGAGGATTTTTTGGGGGCAGAACTGAGATGGTCAGCGAGAGCTGGGGGAAGACAGCGTGTTGTTGGAGCTGCAGGTGAATCCTGGTCTGGCAGATTATGGTGCCAATGAGCCAGTTGCTTTCCTACGGGCCATATCTATTTGCAGATCATGCTCAGCCCTTTCTAAAAAGCATTTCCAGGGAATGTCAAAAGACCATACAAGTTTGCTGAAGCTTTCAGCCTTGACCAGCTTCATCCCTTGACCCATCCAGTTTTATGGGGCCTCCTTTGCAGGGCAAACGAGCCCTCTGCAGGTTGTTATCTGCAGCAGGGTCATGGCATAACTTGTCCTTCATGTACTATCAAGAGCCTTCCCCAGGGTTTTCTCTCCTGCCTGTCTGGCCCTCAGTATCCTCCAAGGCTCTGTGGGAAGCTCCCCGTGGCGCGTGTCCAAGACCTGTGCCGGCACAAGGAGAGACCTTGCAGTTAGACATGATCAGGCTGGAGAGCTGTTGGGTGTGGGGAGATCTCTGCAGCGTCAGCTGAGAGGGGCAAGGAAAACGTCTCTGGGGTGGGAGTGATTCTGCCCTGCTTCTCCCACCAGCAGCAGCAGCCACATTCCAGCAGCTGGAGAACTTGCCCATGCAGAGGGCAAGGAGGGGGAAATGTCCCTTTGCCCCATGGCACTGCATGCCGTGACATGGAGGGGAAAGAAATGCCCTGTGGCAGGCTGCTACAGCCCGTGTGCCTGTCTCTTGACGTGCCGTGGCTGCTGGCCTGTCTGTCTGTTCATCCCCTGTGTCTTACCCCAGCTTTGCTCTTGTCTTTCAGGATGGCACCCTGGAGCTCATCTTCGCTGCCTACGCCACCACCGCCAGCGCCAGCACCTCTCTGATCACGCAGCTCCTCAAACACCCCCGGGTCCTGGAGAAGCTGCGGGAGGAGCTGCGCAGCAAGGGCATCCTCCACAACGGCTGCATCTGTGAGGGCTCCCTCCGGCTCGACAACATCAACAGCCTCCACTACCTGGACTGCGTCATCAAGGAGGTGCTTCGCCTCTTCACCCCCATCTCTGGGGGGTACCGGACAGTGCTGCAAACCTTCGAGCTGGATGTGAGTATTGCCATCTCTCTGGGGTGCGGCTGCACCGTGAGCTCCCCAAAACCACCTTTTTGCAAGTTGTTGCAAAGCTTGCTTGAGCCTGGCTTAGATGAGACCTCAGGGAGGACAAATTAGGTCCTCCTGGTGATGGGAGGTGGAACTGCTCTGGATTCAGAGGAGGGTGATGGGGTCTGGCCCATGGCAGGGGAGGGATGCACTCAGGCTGTCAAAGAGGAGACAGGCGTGACACTTCAAAGAGCAACTCGTGACAATGTTTAACGCCAAAAACTAAACTGGGGTGTGACAAGGGAAAGGTTTACTGCAAAGGGCATCTCCAGGCTGCTGGATGACAGGCGGATTACTCACCACAATGGCTGGAATTTCCTACTAGCAAAACAAAATCTTGAGACCTGGCTTGTCGCTGTAAATCCTACTAATGTAATGATTGAGTCGGAAATCTTTTAAAGTGCTCAGGGGATGATAAATCCGCACCATTTCTCATCACCCAAGCCCTGACATGTGCGTTGGGCGTGTGGGGCTGACAGGCAGCGGGGTGTGAGCAAAGCCATGGGATGCTCTGGGGAGGGCTGGTCAGCGCGCGGGGCATGGCACGGGCGCGAGAAAAGCTGCTTCCCTTTGCCTGGCGGCAGTCAAGCACCACGGGGTTCCTGGTAGGCGACTCCTGCCAGCGACCGCAAAGCAAATAAATAGCAAGGGATCGTCCAGCGGGTCCCTGGGATAGAGGCAGGAATAAACCCAGGATTCCCATCTCCCAGCCCTTTGCGCTGCACTCTCTGGTTTTGTTTTAAATCTGCATCACGCTCGAGTAATAAACCCAAAGAAAATGGGAAAAAGCAGACAAAAAAAAACGGCTTTATCTTGTTCTCCCACTCCCTCTCCCTTTACAGTAGGGTTGACTCGCTCTGGTTTTCTCTCCACCCCTTCCCTCTTCTCTGCAGGGTTTCCAAATCCCCAAAGGCTGGAGCGTCATGTACAGCATCCGGGACACCCATGACACCGCCCCCGTCTTCAAGGACGTGGACGTCTTCGACCCTGACCGCTTCGGGCAGGGTCGAAGCGAAGACAAGGACGGCAGGTTCCACTACCTCCCCTTCGGAGGAGGCGTACGGACCTGTCTGGGCAAGCACCTGGCCAAACTCTTCCTCAAGGCGCTGGCCATCGAGTTGGCCAGGCCCAGCCGCTTCGAGCTCGCCAACAGGACTGTCCCCAAAATCACCCTGGTGCCTGTGGTCCACCCGGTCGACGGACTCAAGGTCAAATTTTTCGGACTGGATTCCAACCAGAACGAGATCCTGACGGGGACAGATGCCATGCTGGGGGCGACAGTGTAAAGCCCACG